GGGGTGCTGGAACTAGTGGATGGCGCCACAGTAATCCACAGGGAAAATATGTTGCCAGCACATCTTATCTTCAGGATTCAAAAAACTTCATAATTGACACTCATTCAGCATATAAAAATGTATTGTCTGAATAATCAGCACGGCTGTGCCCCTCCACGTGTCGCATGGAGCATGGCCGTGCCCCCTCCACGTGTCGCATGGCCGTGCCCCCTCCACGTGTCGCATGGCCGTGCCCCCTCCACGTGTCGCATGGAGCATGGCCGTGCCCCCTCCACGTTTCGCATGGCCGTGCCCCCTCCACATTTCGCATGGAGCATGGCCGTGCCCCCTCCACATTTCGCATGGCCGTGCCCCCTCCACATTTCGCATGGAGCATGGCCGTGCCCCCTCCACGTTTCGCATGGAGCATGGCCGTGCCCCCTCCACGTTTCGCATGGAGCATAGCTGTTCTACTCCAGATTTCAGGTACAGAATATCTGTGCTCTCCCAGGTTCTAAATGTTCCCCAGCTATTTCATAACTAAGGGTAGCCATTCACAGATGTAATTTCAGCCATTTCTGCGGGTCCCCCTGCCGAAACACCCACCGGACATACATTGATTTTTTTTAATTGGCTTTTGTCGGAGGAGCCGGGTGGAAAACGGTCGGCCAAACAATGAGCCAATCAGCCAAAAGCCACCAGGGAAGATTCCTCCATCCACGCTCTTTAGGGTGGATGGTGGAAGTGAGGGTTTTTTCTGGTTCTATGGCCAGCTTAACGCCACATCTAATAGACCAGATAGAGGCATTGGCTGGCTACAAAATCACAGTGCCAAGTCAGAGGACGCAGGTAGCATTGTTTCCCCCAAAACTGTCAGACTCAAACTTCTATATACTGTGTGTACGTGTACGCAGCCTTAGATTTAAAAGTAGAAGAGTACATCAAGGTCTCTATATGAAGTACTATACATGGCCAGCAAAATAAAAACACTTACAGGACCTTTCCTTTTTGACGGAAACCTATTTCTTTAAATCGCTGCCACTTCAAGCTAATAAAGTGCTATTATGTCCAAGAAGTCACAAGCAATGATATTGCTAATAATGAAACCAGTTGCTGGCCCTGAGATGTAATACACATTTTAAATACTGATGATCATTTCCTATAAAGAAGCAGCTATTGTGAATAGGAGATAAATAGGCAATAATGACCCCCTTCTCAGCCGGCCAGCAGCAACTCTCCCCAGGTATCCTCCGCCCGGATCTTCCCCTCGCTCGCTCTCTCCCCTAAATCCACCGGGCCCCGTTCGTCTTTTTTCTCCCCCCTTAGCTCCAACTTGCCGCCCAAGCGCTCGTTCACTCACCCGGGGCGCCGTGGTTGCCGGCGAGCTGCTGCTGCGCGTTCAGGTTGGGCTTGTAAGCCATTCCCAGAGACATGACTGCCGAGAGGAGAGCAATTCACCCACAACAACAAATAAAATGTCCTGAAATCCACTGAAGCGTCTCTTGTCTGTCTCCCTCAGACACTTTTTGTTGTTTACAGCGGCGGCACCGGCAAATATGGCGTCACTCTACACTGACACCCACAATGCCAGGAGCGCTCCACAAAGCCCGCCGTGGTCACCGACCCCGGATCACCTCAACCGACCGATCTTCCCCGGCGGGCTCAATAAAACACACAATTCTCAGCTATGGGAAGACACAAATATTTCCACACATGGCTGACGTGAAATGTACTGCCAGTGACACCGAGAGCTCAGCACTGACACCACACTTCCTTTATAGAGCGTTTAACTTTATAAAAGTGTTTTTACAACTTTTTACTTTTTTTTTTTTTTTAATTACCCTCATTTTATACAGAATTTGAATAAATAAAATAATAACTTTGTGCACTCATTACAATAATAAAAAAATATATATGTGTGTGGGTTTTTTTTGTGTTTGTTTTTTTTAGTCAGAATTCTCTTAAATCCACATCGGACACCTTTTTTGTCACCGTAGTGACCGCGCCTCACGCCGCGTATGCGCTTTAATTTTTGGTGCCCGGGTGTGACCTAAAGAAGGTGCTCAGACATGTTAAGATCGGTCAGCAGCGTATAAAATATCGTTTATTGCAAATTAGGTCGCAGAGGTCAAAATGTTTCGGGGCCACGCAGGGTTGTTTCCTCAAGGTGACACCGTGACCTAAGAAGGGACCCTGCATGACCCCAAAATGTTGCCTATTTTGACCTTTGTGACCTAATTTACCATAACATTTTCTTTGCACTTTGGCGCACTGGTGACCTATCTTCACACGTCTGAGGTTCTGCACGCCGATTTGCGCGGTGGTCACTAATCCCTGGTGACAATGCTGTATGATGTGCAGCAAGCACTTTAAAGAAGGCGCTGACACTATAAATACATAAATAATTCATGCAGAATAATTTTCTTTTATTGTATGAAGAAAAAAAAATGGTTGTCTCGCAGGCGGTTTTTTTTTTGTCTAAATCCCTGCCACCCCCTGCCGTCACATACATTGTAACCCCTTCGGGGGGGGGGATGTGTCAATGAGCTCTTTATTCACCGGTGAATGATTATTGTCCAGGCTTTTAGAGCACGTGAAATTGTTCAATTAAAAAAAAAGGTTTGGGGTTTTTTTTTTTGGGAGGCGCTGAGAGGCGTCGCTCGTCTCCTATAGTAAAGGTGCGAGGCACGCAGCATGATCAGGGTTTATGTCTCGGATGAATGATTTTGTCAGTATTAACAGCCATTTTGTGACGTATGAGCTCAAAGCAGCTAATGTGACTGCAAGAGAATAAAAGAGAGCAGAAGATGGATGTCAGCAAAGAGCAATCACTGCATAATCTTCTCTTTATGTAACCTGGATGGCGGGGCATTTGCATGCATCGCATTCAGCTGCTTTGCTGACTTTTTTTTCAGCAGCAAATAGGTCAATGCTAATCACAGTTTCTGAGAGATTTTTAACCGCTTGTCCTTATGTTATGACGAGCACTCCGCGCTTGCTAGTTCTTTTTATGTGTGTATGGATTGCGATCGATTTAAATGCGATGCGGAGATATCTTCACCGCTTCGCGCACTTCATTTAATAACTCTGAGATGGAAGGGTATATATAAGGATGTGACTATTTTACAGGTAAATTTGATGTGTTGCAAAAAAAAAAAAAAGGATGGGACCTTGATGCATTTTGGGGCAACAGTTTTGCTCCTGTGTATGTATTGCCTAAAGCAGGGGTAGGCAACCTTGGCACTCCAGTTGTGGTGAAGCTAAGCATCCCATCATGCCTCTGGGAGTCATGCCTTTGGCTGTCAGTCTTTTAATGCCTTGTGTGACTTGTAGGCATGTGCAGCCTATTGCATTAGGGTGTGCCCACAACAGTACCAACATACATGCCTATAATCTATCTATAGCTAAATACACACAGCCCAGCTTCCTGATTGGATGGGAAGCCGCAGCCACGCTCCCTCGCAGCTTCCCAGGCACGAGGGCCGTGGCTGTTATGTGAGGGATGTAAGTGGGAAGTGCTACTGCACTCTATCGCTGAGCTGGTCACAGGCTGATCTCTCCACCGCCTCAGTGACTAAAAACACAGCTCCTGCAATTTCGGTGTGATTAGGCACAACTGGCACACCCTGTGCGCATGCCTATGGTTCCACAAAAGCTGAAGTGCAGAGGTTGCCTACCCCGACCAAAAAGCCATAACTGGCTTGTATTTGTTCGTTATAAGGATTCTTTTATGTGTGTTCATGAGCAGGTTCTGGCCATCCCGCTCAGCTCCTGACAACCAATGATGTCAGTGAGCCGGAGCCAGAGGCAACTCCCAGCGCCCTCATGGTAACATGCTCCACTAGCAGCCCCCCACCCCAGGAACATGCTCCACTAGCACCACCCCCACACCCCGATCCTCTGTCCTTGATCCTGTGTATGAGTGTGGACCAATGTATTAGAAAAAGTGCTAATCTGAGTTTATTTAGTATGATTAGCCATTAGAAAGTCTAGAGTACTGTTACTTAACCGTTTTTCAGTCATGACCCCCTTTAAAAGTATGCAAATTTCAAGGTGCCCCAGTCTAAAATGTAAAAATAGATGTACGGTCCCCCCTAAAATCCATACCAGACCCATATCCTAGATAGGCGTAGAGTATGATTTCCATGGGGTTACATCCGCACGCGGCAATGGTTAAACAACGCACAGTTTTTCTCGCCGCGATAGTGTTCAAATGCACGGGTGGAATCGTGGCGGGAAACCAGGCAATCTGACCAGCGCGACTGGGGTGCCATTAAAAATCGGTGGTGGGCGACTCCGTGACTGCCTGGCAATTCGCACGGTTTTGTGCACGATTGCCGCGCAGTCACGGATCGCCCAGATGTGAACCTAGCCTCAATGTACAGTAGTTCTGTAGCATGTTGTCTGTGAAAGGTTCTCATTTATCCGGGTCATGGTATAGCTCATAATCAGGGCTTGAAAAATTTTAGGGTGTCTCACCAGTCAGTCAAAAATTTCACCAGTCAGCATGACCGGACTATAGCCATGCAATTTATGTTAACATTTTTTTGGGACAGATAGAATTTCTTTTGGAGGTATATAATCATCTTGGGGGTAATTTTTTTTACCGTTGTACCGTAAATGTAAATGAAAAAAAAAAGTTTCCCTACACTATGTTATTAAACATTTATACCCATATTTTTGGTAAAACATAAAAGTCGGGGTCACGTCGGGTAAATAGACACCAAACATGTCAAGCCTTACAATTGCGTGCGCCCGCAAAAAACGCCCATAGGCGACGCTTAAAACGCTTTTACTGCTCATCAGTTTAGTGTTATCAGTGATAAATGGCCCTAAAATTATTGCTCTCTGACGTTTGCGGCGATATGTAACATGTGCGGCACAATAGGCGCAATCGGCGTTTTCGCACGTAGGCGCTCCCGACGCATATTTGAGTGGGCGGGGACTTTAAAAAATGTTTTCTTTTTTAATTCTTTTTATGCTTTATTTTTTTATGATTCGTTAATTTTTGTATTACTTTTTTTTCTTTTGACACACAACTTTATTGCTATTACATGGGGGGCTAAGAAGCCCCCTATATAATAGCCAATTTACATGACAGGTCCTCTTTATGGAGACATCAGGGGTCTGCAAGAGAAGCCCCCAGAGAAGCTGATGAAGCAGAGATCTGCTACATCAGCTTCTGTAGCTGGAGAGTGACACTGAATGCAGGAAGCAATGTAATATACATCACTTCCTGCATTCGGGGAAAGGGAGTTCGTATACTGAACTCCCTTTGATCTCCTGTCACAGAGCCGTGCCGGTCCCGGCCGCATCGGGCACAGCGGATTTAGGGACCGGCAACGGCAGGGACAGCTGCTAATACAAGCAATCGGGCGTCTCTAGAGACGCTCGATCACTTGAGAGTAAAGCTCCCGGCCAGCCGTGTAATTACAACGGCCGGCCGGGAAGCTGCTCGTCGGGCTCCACCGTCCTCTTGTCACAGACGAGTGGACGAGTGGATTTTTCAAGCCCTGCTCATAGTAGTGGTTAGTCACGTTCAGCTGTAATGTAATGTTTAAGACACTTCACAGCCAATCCAAGCCACATTTCAGTTCTAATGAGCATTAGAACATACAGCACCATATATCCAAATAGCATTAGAGAATCACCTGCACACCATACAGCGCTTGAACCACACAAAATGTCCGTTGGTGCTCGAAGTGACGACACGGATGGCGCCTAGGGTTGCCACCTTTTCTTCAAGCGGAACCCGAACACTCTAGCAACACGCTGACTTTTTTGGGGGGAGAATGAGTTGTGGCTTAGTCATATGTAAATAGCGCCGCCAATTCATATGTAAATATCAAAGTTTAAGCTATTTTTAGTGGGTGGCCAGTAGCCGCTATCTTAATTTCGGTTGTCCCTGTGTGCCTGACATCTCGTGTCCGGGTTTCTGCTGCCATGAAACCCGGACACAGCATTCAAAACCCGAACTGTCCGGGTGAATGCTGGACAGGTGGCAACCCTAATGGTGCCGTGCTACAGTCCAAGTAAAGATAGAAGTCACCAGCACTCACTTGTAACGTGCAAAAAGGATAGCACTTTAATAGATATGTCACATGCGTCAAGAAGCCAACGTTTCGTCACAAAGTCGCCCTGATGAAGGGACCCTGCGCGGCCCTGAAACATTGGCTTCTTGATGCATGTGATGTATCAATAAGGGCCAGTTCACACCATATGCAGTTGTGATGCAGTCCGTTTATTTTGACTGCTGCAGTCAAAATACATCACAATGCTTTCATATGGGCTTTCATGTGCTTAATTCACACCATTGCAGTCCGTTCAGATGCAGTCAGAAAAAGTACTGCTTGTCCTATTTTACCTGCATCAAACTGCACGAAACGCATCAAAACAGAATTGATTGTGGCATCATCCAGGGACATGCAGTGGGGAAAACACATCACAAACGCGTCAAAACGGATCGCAATGCAACTGCGCATGCGCACGCAGTTGTGATGCAGTTTCTGGTGTGAACTAACCCTCAAAGTGCCATCATTTATATCCACACACATAGCACAGACACCTTCATCCATTCACTATGGATTTTGCACAGGCTGATGTTGATTGTCCAAGAACAGGGTGTGACATGTGAAAGTTGTGGAACTACCCTGTCCCATCACTGC